TCCAGGTTTTCAGACAGATTTGTAAATATTTTCGATATTATTTTTTTAAATAATACAGAAATATTTTACTCATTTTTTCAAAAATACATGTATTTTATAATTATTTCAATGATGTAAGACAAAATTTTTTTATCGAGGAAATTCCGAACTTCTTTTACCAAAAGAATTTTTTCATTATATTTAAAAATACGGTTTTTCTGAAAATTATTATTTTTGTTTTTTTTAATATTTCTTAAATATTTTGGTTTGTGTTTTGAAAATATTACCCAAATTTATCCAATTTTTCGTAAATGTATTTAAATTGACTACTCTGATACACCTTTTCAATTTGGTTTAACAAATTCCAAATTTCACGAAATTTCACTTTCGGCGTTTGTTGTCACTTCCCATTTTATAAGCATAAAATAATTCTACAAACTTTTACAAAATAAAGAGACGCCCTTGTTCTCCTACAGAATTACTAAATTAAACGATCTAAGGATAAGTAAATTTACTACTAAATCATTTGTAACCTAATTTTACTTCGAAATATGAGAAAAGTTTGTAAGTTTACGGATTTTACAAGTTATCAAAGACTGCCTCAATAAATAACAATTAATTATCGGTAACAAAATAATACCTAAAATTAAGCCCAATATTTCCTTTCAATTTAGTGATCATCACTTATTTATTACTTCTCTGAGCGGAGGAGGAGGATCGGTAAATGGGGAGAAAATCGGCTTACCATCAAAATTAGGGGTGCAATGCAGACGTATCAGACAGGATTTTCAGTGCCATTCAATTCAATGGGGGAAACGAACAATGGGAAAGTGGTGACAATACTGGAAATCAAAATAGTCGAATCATCTCCTCATCGTTTATTATGTAGCGGAAGGAACGGAGCTGAAGCTACTTTTTGCGACCGGTTTGTCCGTCTGTCTGTCCGTCCGTCCGGACGATAACTTTCGAAAATGTCAGTTTTTTGTTTGTTTATACCTTCGGATATCGAGATCCAATTTTAAGATTAAGAGGGAGCTTGTTAAATAAAGGTCAATAGGTCACGGCGATGGGGTCAACTTTTTAACATGATTTTGGAAACTTGTAAAAGTTTGTCACCAGTTATGAAAAGTGCAAATGAAATGATTGATAAATTGAACCACAGATTATTAGGTTGCGGAATTTCGACGATTTTGATTATTTTTGATAGGTTTTAATTTTAATGGATTTGGCATGTATTGAATAATTCAACTTGAATTTCATCAATATTTATCGACTCAAAAAATGAAAAAGGCGAAAATGTATAATTCTTTAATTTTGATAGTTTTAGCCCAAGTTGGGACAGGGGGTTTCAAAAATCAACATAATTTCGAGGTAAGACGATCGTGTAAAAGAGGTCAAAGGGTTAAAAAAATGTCAAATTTTTGGATTATACACCTCAAAAATGTGGGAAATGCAATCCAGGATTTTCAGCACTTTGCTTCCCCTACTTCATTAAATCTGTTTCGGGAGTTTATTTTCATCTCAATAAATATCAAGATACAATCTGATGATGCGATTACACCAATATTTCACTATTGTATTGTTGGCTCCGTTTTTCTTTACAAAAGCACTAAATTTGATTACAGCGTGGGCGAAATAAATACGTCAAACTTTTAGAATATTGATATACAAATGGTTGCCAAAAAATTCATAGGGTGTTCCCACACTCTTAGAAATCCAGTATTAAAATTTTACCAAGCGGTAATATTCTTATAAGACTCTGCCAAAGTGGTACTGATAAGTAATACCGTGTGTGTAGTAATAGCTCGGTATTAAAGGTTGACAATGTCATTAGAAAACTTTTTCTACATACCCCCGTATAAATAATTTTAGCACCAAGCGGTAGTAATTTTAATACCGCGGTATAAATAGTTGCCTGACTATACCAGATTTCTAAAATTGTATCAATTCATGCGAAAGTTTTCAACTCCGTAAACTGTATAAGAAGATATGCAAAATTATTGTTGTTCAAATTAAATTAAAGCCTGAGATCTGAGTAAGTTTACGATAAATTAATAATTAACAAATTTTAAATTTTTTACCCAAACGATAAAACTCTCATCGTGACGGTTTAACACCATTCGTTACATTTTATACAAAAGAGTAATATGATTTCAGGTATTGATTTTAAATTTTAATTTTTTTTCTGTGTATTTTAAATATTTTATTTTAATTTGTATTTAAATTCAAATCAAAATCCGCATAGGATAGCACGTTAAAGTATTTGACCAATTGGTCCTTCAATTTGGAGTGAGTTTCACCCAATTTCTTCTACAAAAAAGTGTCACTCTTTGGAATTGGGTGAAACTCACTCCAAATTGAAGGACCAATTGGTCAAATACTTTAACGTGCTATCCTATGCGGATTTTGATAATCAAAATTTGATTTGAATTTAAATTTTTGTATCTCAACTGTCCCCTCTTCCATGTATTCAAATTGCGATTTTGAAACCTGCTCAACTCCGTGCGTTTTAAAAATTGAAGATTTTATTGCATACAAAAATCGATAATTTTAGGTTTACAAAGTTAGGAGTCCTAACTTAGGACTCATAAGTTAGGAGGTTATAATTTTGATTTTTTTCTTATCTGATCAGTGACAGGTTAGCACCGATGTTTAGTTTTTATAGAAATTGGTATCTATATTTTAAAACATGTACCAAATGGTGGCCGTTTGTTATTTATAGCGCTACAATTTTGAATTTATGCATGTTTTTAAGAATATTTAAAACATGATCTAACTTCAGATTTATTGGTTTGTGTTATCTGAGAAATTTAAGTGCTAATTTTTCACCCATATGAAAATATTCAAGTTATGAATGACAGTTTAAAACCCATTTTAGTTTTTAAATAAAATTTGAATCTAAAATGTACTGTAGATTCGTGAAACACATAGTCACAGTTGGCCACAATTTTGTGCATAATTTTTACGTGAGTGTAAAATATGATGAAATTTCATATTCACTTGTTTGTGCTTTTTTGAATTTTGAGAAATTCAAAGTATTTCTTGTTGAGTTTTCATCTACATGAAAAAAAATCAAACGCCAGGTTCTACATTTGATAAGAAATGTTATTCTTTAAATGTACTTAAGATTATAAGAGTCAATAAAATTGTACACAAACATGTACAATTTTTTAATTTGTGTATTTCTGGTTTTAAAAATGTACCTAAAATGTTAAATGCTCGAAACTCATAAGATTGTATAGAAATATATACAATGCGATGATTAATTCCGAACCTGCGAAAATATAAAATTTGCATTTATGGCATTCGAAAGATAGTTGAAGTCATCAAAGTTTGAAAACGCGTGAGAACCTGGCGCTGGGAGATTAAAAAAAAATAAAGTACAATTTCACTGCTGAAAGGGCGTCAAAATTTACAATCTACCTACATTATTAGGATAGATAAGGAACCTGTTGAAGTAAAATTTAAGCACATTTCAGGCCACACCCCCGTGAACCGAGTCTGCCGTCCGAATAATTTGAGGCAATTTGAGACTATCAGTGTTCTCAGAATTCTCAAGTTCTGTAGAAGTTCAACTGTGCGCGAATGGAGAGTACGTACTACGTACATTAATTTTTGGAAAGTTTCTTAATCAATCAATTAAAACTTTACATACATGCACCAATTAGCAAGAGTTGGATTACTTGAGTACATATTTTGCCATATTCATAACTATTTACATATTTCTTATAGATATTAACATAATACACTATTTTTTAGCGTACAAACCTTGTTTTTGAAAATACAGCGTCAAACTTTCTTAGATATTTAAACTTATCGATTTTTCTTAACTATTGTAACCATTTTTATTATAAGGAGGCAACAAAACAACAGGAATAAAAGTCTTAGCAAATATTTAATTTGTTAAGCCATTTTTTGACCCACAAAAAAAATCCGTGAAAAAATTTAAATTGTAATAGTTTAAAATCGATGTTTAGTTTTTGAAGAAATTCGTATTTACATTTTAAAAGAGCTACAAAGTTCTGGCAGTTTGGTGTAGCGTTATTATAATTTATGACAGATGCATGTTTTTCAGAGTATCTAAAATATGACTAAATTTCATATTTATTGTTTTGCGTTATTTGAGAAATTGAAATGCTAATTTTTCACCCACACAAAAAAAAATAAGTTGTGACAGTTTAAAACCGATTTATTTTTATTTTTGAAGAAAATTTCTATTTAGAGTGTACTTAAGATAATTGAGACATTTATTGTTACGAGAATTTAAAATATGACGAAATTTCAGGTTAATTTTTTGATTCCCTTGTATGCAGGTTTTGAATTTGAAGCCGGAGTTTATTACAATGAATGACTTTTTCAATTTGTTTTAATGTACGGTTTATTAAACGAGAATTTTACGAGAATATAAAATATGACGGAACTTTAGATTCAGTTTTTGTGCTAGTTGAGAAATTATAATTAAAGGTCTAAAGGCTGTCCATCTTTTGTGTGATATGGTATTAATTTTCTTCAAAATGTGACAACTGGCGTAAAACCTGAACTTTTTCAATTGAGTCAAAAATTGACAAGCAATAATCTTTATAAATATATTTAGAAATAATCTTTATAATAAACAAATTATAATTATCAATAATATAGATTATATCAATAATCTATTATGATCAATAATAATCTTTCGACACAACTTATCCAAAAAAACGAATCCAAAATTTTGTCACAATTTGATGAAACTCACAATTCGATTTTTTTTTCGTCAGGGTACAAAATCGATAGTTGAAACCTGTAAAAAACGAATGATTTTTTCCCTATTTTAGGTCATGCTTTGCTTAAAACCTAAAAATTGTCGATTTTTATACGCACAAAAATCTTCATTTTATAAAAAAACGAGTGTTTCAGGTTTCAAAAACTTGTTTCAAAATTGCAATTTGAAGACATGGAAGAAGGGAAAGTTGAGACGAAAATTTCAATTCAAAACCCGCCTACAAGTGCACCTTAATACATAAATAAATCAAGTGTACATATATATTTCGTTTCAATTATTATAATATCGCCTTAATTTACGCAGCTTACAACTTTACAAATGTAGTTCTATGTGACTATAAATTAACGTAAGATTCAATTACTTATCGCCAAAAGCAACAAATTTTTAGCATTTCTCAGCTCTGGGAATGTATTTTTAAATTCTGAACGACAAATTGTGTATTTAATTTGATGAGCAAATCTAGATAAAATTGTTGCATTGTTGATCCATATTATTCGCATGCTAAATAATTTTTCATAATATTTTTATTACAGAAAAAACATAAATCATACAAGTCATGAATTGAAAATTTCTGAATTTTCGCCACATTTTCAATTCTGTTTATCCATTTCCGTCAATTTTTACGTTGTGTAAACAGCCATCTCAGATTGATGCACGGGTGGGAGGAGCGACAACCTCTTGCCGCAATTACTGCAAAAAAATTCAAAAAAAGAACATGCAATTTTTTTCCAAAAACATCCCAAAAATTCTTAAAACCTACTCCATAAGTCCTTGTATAATGGATGGGACTTGTTCACTCGGCGCGGCGACGGAGCACGTGCTCGTCTTGATGAAAAGTGGTTGAAAGTACTTTTTCGTCATTTGTCGTACTTCGTCCAGCGTCACCGTTGAGATTCGTTGCATCACAAATCTGAAAATTAATAAAAATCGTATTTCACGCTGAAAGAACCATTTACACGAAATAAGTAACTGCAAGAAAGCAGCTTTTTGCAACAATTTTGACCTGCAAGAAATGCACCGCGCAAGAAACTACGCCCGCCGCTAAACTTCATACGGCGCGTGGCTGGCTAAATGGTGCTTATTTATTGCAAATTCTTGCACCTCGCATTTCTTGCGTGTCTTTCTTTGAAATGCAAGAAATGTAATAGCAAATCCGCAAGAAACGAAACATTGAAATTTTGTCAAAAAAGTTATCTAAATGTTGAAAATTTCTGGCTACTTATGACCCAAAATTGGAAAAATTTTGGAAATTATGACACATTTTTTCCCGTGTTTCGAGTCCTACTAACCATTTTCAAGAAATCACGGCAACAAAGTGTTTCTTTCAGCTATTTTGACCTGCAAGAAATGCAAGGCGCAAGAAACTACATTCCACCGCTAGGCGCATGGCTTGGTGGCGCATATTTATTTCTTGCGGTTTCGTGCATCTCGTATTTCCTGATGATTTGCAGTGCAATAAATATAGCAAACCCGCCAGAAACGAAACACTACCCATAATAAAACCCGGGTTTCATTCAATAAAAAAAATTTTAACCCACCGATTAAAATGTGTCGGCACGAGGCGATAGTAATCCAGGAGGGAGCCCAGGGCTAAATTTCTGGGCGTATTTTCCTTCTCGATGAGGTCGAAAATTGCCGAACTTTTCGCACTCGTGAGCAATTCCGGTTTCCAGATTGGTACTCCAGCCTCATTTCCCACCGTCGTCGTTGTTGTTGTTGAAGCTATCGTTACGGTCGAGACCACACTTTGCGTTTCCGACTCGGACTTCAAATGGTCGAGAATAATTTTGAATGCGGCGGTATAAGCTTTGACGAGATCCGTGGCGTCGTTTAGTTCAAAGTATATCATGCCCTCTTCCGGATTCAGGTGGAGGCGGAAGTACGGAGCATAACCGAGGTTTCGTATTCCCTGAAATCAAATTGGAAATGAAATGTTGCAAAAATTTAATTTTGTAAAGTAAAAAAGTTTATAACGGATTTTTTAAAATATATTGTGACCAAAATTTAAAAAGATGTACAGGGTGGTTAAAATGTCACGCCACAATGGAAAATTTTTCAATGGGAAAAATCCCTAAATCCCCATTAGTTACAAGATTTTGGATTAAGATTTTTATAATTATTATCAAAACTGGTGGAAAACTGATGACGAAATTCTTAGAACATTGAATTTTAGAGACAAAATTTCGGTAACTAATGGAAATTTACAAATTTTTCCCATCGAAAAATTTTCCATTGTTGCGTGACATTTTAACCACCCTGTATAATTTTCGAATATGCTTTAAATCGTGAATGCTGAGATTGTGCATATATGGAAAAATATTCGCTGTAATTAATCTAATTAATATAATTAGGTATTGAAATTCTACATTTTGCTAAATTTTTGGGATTTATAAAAAAGGTTTCTTCAGTTTCTTTTAAATTGTAAATCCTAAAATTGTTGTAAAAATGTCTCGAAACACTGAATATTTCTATAAAAGGTGTAACAAATCTCAGCATTCATGATTTAAAATATCTTTGAAAATTAACAAAAACAGCATCCCTGAATGAATTTATAACATAAATCGTTATAATTTTTTTTGTTTTAAAAATTCAAAAAAATCAAACTTTTGCCGCTATTATGACTAAAAATTATGAAAATTATTTGTTCCCAACTAACCTTATGAAATGGTCCCTCATGCTGTGTGAAGTAGTGAATTGCCGTCAAAAGGAGGGGGTACTCGGGACAGTTGAGTTCTCTCAGGCAGGGGGCCACCTTGACACAAAAAATATATATATTTTCAAAATTTTGACGTTTTTTTCTTTCAAAATTTCCAAAATTTTCAAAATTAATTACTTGGAGAAGGAAGGCGCCCTGTGAGGAGGCATGCATTCGGAGGATTTTCTCCGCCCGACAGCGTTGGATGCAGTCCAAACTCTTCATAAATTTGGTGTCGGGGTCGTTGGCGAGTCGTTTTGTGGGGTAGCCCCAGTGCCACCCGGTGTAGTCAAATGTCCTCCGGAGCAGTTGCGACACAGCGTCTCGAACATCGGGTTTGTCTGTCAGGTAAAAACTGCAGGTAAAAAAATATTGAAATTTTTAAGTAATTATTTTGTCTCTAAAAATACAAAAATGTTTAAATCGAGACTTGACCAAATTCATCAAAGCATATTGGATTTGAAAATACTTATTTTTTTCCAAAAAATTATTATATATACCGAATTTAACAAAAAAAATCAATAAATGTGGACCTAGTTTAACAAATTCCAACAAATTCCTTGAAATTTTGAGATAAAAGTTGCAAGTAAAAAAAAACATTGTAATTTTTTGCAAAATATATATTTTGTCCCGAAAAAATACATACGTATATATAACGGATTGAATACACCTTTTTTAATCGACAAGTGTTGACCAAATCCATCAAAATTTTCTACAGATTTCATCAAAATTAACATAAATCCACAAAAATCCACAAAACCTCACCACATTTCAATCAGTCCAAACCTGTGGTTCAATTTGGTAGTAATCCTTTCTACAACTTTTCAGATCTAGTCATAAAGTTACCCAAGTTTTCAAAATCATGCCAAAATTTTCAAAAATCTTCAAATTAAATCTAAAATTAAATTCAGTATTTTTTTACAATTTCGAAAATTCATTCAAACTAAAAAATTCAACAGAATTGATCAAAATCTAAAAACATCCTTGAAATTCAACCCCACCGAATCTGTTGGTCTATTCCGGAATCGTCTTTCTTCGTATTTTTAATATCTGGCCATAAAGTTACACAAGGTTTCAAAATTATGCTAAAATTTTCAAAAATCTTCAAATTAAATTCAAAATGAACATATTTTTATATTTCAAAAATTCCTTCAAGCTAAAAAATTCAACAGAATTATACATGAAATTCTTAAATATTCCAGTATGCGAAATCTGTTGTTCAGTTAGCTAATAATATTTTTTCCTAGTTTTCATATCTGGCGATAAAGCTTTCAAAATAATTCCAAAAATTTCCAGAAATCTACCAATTAAATCCAAAATATTTTTACATTTCAAAAATTCTTTCAAACTAAAAAAAATATAATTAACTGTCAAATCTATCAAAATCTATCAAATTTAAAACATACAAAATATATTCAACGGTTTGATCTTCGATTATTTAACTAATCATTTATCCTCAAGTTTTCATATCTGGTTTCAAAGTTACTCAAGTTACTCAAGTTTTAAAAATCATGCTAACATTGTCAAAATCATGCCAAAATTTTCAAAATCATGCCAAAATTTTCAAAACTCTTCAAATTAAATCTAAGATTTACATATTTTTCCATTTCAAAAATTCCTATAAACAAATAAAAATCACACTCTTTTCGGAAAAACTTACTCCATCTTTTCCAGTCTGGTGGCCACGTGGACGGTGGTGTTTTCCGGGCGGAGGACCACCATTCTGATCGCCTCCAACATTTTGGCGACCTTTTTGAAACTTTTTGGCAATTCTGCGCCCAACCGTTCGAGAAAAACTTGCTGCCTCACGAGGGACATTGCCCTCAAATTTCGGTCAATATTTCCCTAACCAACCCTTCAAATTATACCAAAAATCTATCCAGTATTTTTTACGTTTCAAAAATTCCTTCAAATCAAGAACAATAAATGAATTAAAAAAATAAAACTAAGGCGAGAGGCGCTATTACAAACAAGAAACAAGCCCTCCCACCAACACCCCCGTCTCGCCGTGGCCCCATGACATTTTTATATCTGGGGGGTGTAACCACAATTTTATTTTTTGAAATTTTTTCCTGCATTATACACAATTTAAAAAGCCAATAATGTGGTATATATGCCAACATGGGTGCATTCCGGGTATGTATATGTTCCAAACTTTTTCAACTACAATACCGATTGACTTGAAACTTTAGTATCTTGGTTCTGTTATATACATTTTTAATAAAAAAATCATTCATTAAAAAAATGTTTTTATACATATTTGTCGATTGTATTAAACATTTTAGATAAATGTTTCGGAGTTTTTAAGAATATGTTGATTAATGCTAGACTGCATGTTTAAACTGAAATTAATGTAAGAACTACAGGTAATAGGTTTTAAAAGTGCAGTGCAATATAAAATTGTACTATACATCAATTTTAAATACACTTTACGTTAGTAGTTAACTACTAATAGAAAGTTTAGGTTTGAATCATAAATTGTGATTATACCCCCCCGGATATAAAAATATTAATGGGCCACGGCGAGACGGGGGTGTTGGTGGGAGGGCTTGTTTCTTGTTTCTAATGGCGCCTCTCGCCTTAGTTTTATTTTTTTAATTCATTTATTTCGTCGTTTTTAAGTGAAAAATTTTTTAACTCCGCCATTAAAAACCCACAGTGCAGACTTGATATAGCCCGAGTCAAGAAAAGGTTGCAATGATCACCCAATCCGAAGTTTTGCACGAAATTTTTTCATAAATGCATATCAATATTTTTTAAATAAAAACTAATGGTTCTAATTTAAATTCACATTCTTACATTAGTAGCAATTGTCAGCATATGTAACAAATTGCGGTTCGATACGACGATTAAAATAAATCCTTTCGGGTCCCTCCAGATGAATATGTTTCCGATTTTACTTAATTCATATTGTTCCATTACGAGCCATTACAAATTTACAGACAGACGGACGTGACGATTATATAAGCCCTGGCTCGGGCCATCATTTGCACACACATATAATGAATTATTTACTAAAGTTGCTATGGATGTTAACTGAATTTTAAAATTTTAAAACCTCCATAACTTCGTCATTTTTGATCCGATCTGCATGACCCAAAAGAATGATCCTAATGTTTTTTGAAGCTCTTTCGATTTCCCTGAGCCGATTTTTCACTTTCAGCGGAATATTTTGAGATACAGAAAAAAAGTCAGTAAAACGAGAAATACACCATGAAGGTATGAACCGATTAAGCCCTATAAACAATACTACACAGAATTTACTACCCATTGGTCAAAACCGCATGTCCCTACGACGTACGGTTCTCTCACAATCTTGTCTGACTGTTTTGAGGTGTCCACTTAACTGCATACTATGGCTTCGCCGTAACCATGCACGTATTTTTTGGGGTGCATGGTTACGTTTGGGTCTCGCCTTAGAAAAATCAACAAAATTCATCAAAATCCATCAAAATAATTCCAGCCACAGCAAATCTCTAGTTGATTTAGCTAATAAATTTTTCTCCTAATCATAAAGTTGCACAAGTTTTCAAAACCGTATCAAAATTTTCAAATCAAATCCAAAATGTACACATTTCCAAAATTCCTTCAAACTAAAAAAATCGAAGTACTTACTCCATCTTTTCCAGTCTCGTGGCCACGTGGACAGTCGTATTTTCCGGACGGAGAACCACCATTCTAATCGCCTCCAACATTTTGGCGACTTTTTTGAAACTTTTGGGTAGTTCGGCACCCAACCGTTCGAGAAAGACTTGCTGTCTCACGAGCGACATTGCCCTCAAGTTGGAGTTCATGCTGTAGAGGGATTCGCCGTTCATGGCTGCGACCATCGTGGGGCCGTGGTCGAGCAGCGTCGTGACCTCGGAGGCGAGTCGGGTGGCGATATTTTTCAACCGATCCGGCTGCCATTTCGTGTTCCAGAGGAGAATCTGCATCCACTCGAAGCCTTCCTTGACGCGTTTCATCTCCATTTGAAATCGGATGCAGAATAGGTTGGAGAAATCTGAAAAGGGAAAATGTTTATGAAATTTTTAGAATAGAAAAATCTCAAATTTCTTAGTTGTTGAGCTATGAAATCTTAGAGGTTACAAATGAGCAGGGTATTCATGAAGGTAATTTGAACTCCAAAAAATTCTCAATATCACAAATTAAGTATTCATTTTTTGTATTCTGAGCTTGGTAAATTTTTAGAAAATTTTTCAATTCAGATAATTCTGTGCAAATGAAACTCTCAAAATCATGATTTTTATCTACTCCGAAAAGGGTTAGAAGACAGGCTGAATTTTTAGGAAATTTTGAAATTAATAAAGCTGTGCAAACTCTCTAATCTCAAATTATACGAAATCTTAGGGATCAGAAAACAAGCTGGGTAAATTGTTAGGAAATTTTGAAATTCAGAAAATTCTACGCAAGTGAAACTCTCCAATCTCAAAATAATCATTTTTTTTCACTCCGAAATCTTAGCGCTCCGAAAAAGAGCTGGCTATTTTTTGACAAAATTTCGAAATTCACACATGTCATCATCATTCTTTCTACCACTCACTTCCGCACGAGAACCGATTCCCACCCTTCCCGCGATCCCAGTCGATTCCGAAGAACGTTTCGTACTTGAGGACGTCCCGCGACAGGCCGGCGATCATTGCCTCGTAGGAGTAGAAGCGCTGCGAGTTGTCGACGTAGGGCGCCTCGAGCAGCGCTTCGGCGAAGAGGACGAGGTATTTCTTCTCCTCGAGGGTCAACTCGGCCGTGTCCATGAGCACGGTCAGGTAGACGTAGTTCGTGTTCATGTCGTCCAGGTACAAGTTGCACAGCGTGTCCCCCGCCCACGAGGGGTTGTCGTGTCGCTCGATCCCCAAAAATCCTAAGAAATCGCAAAAAAATGATCTCTAATTTTGAAAATTCAGTTTGATTGCGTCTTTCTCTTTGGTTAGAAAAATTGTAAATTTGTGGGTACAAAATTTGTAAAAAATTCATGCGGGACAAAAATAACAAAAAATTGTATTAAAAATTTTGAAAATTCGACGCTCAAATAACAGTTTGGCGATGTCTTTGGTTAAAAAATTTGAGAATTTTGGGGCACAAATTTTGCCAAAAATCCTGCGGGATAGTAAAAAATATGTATCAAAAGTTAAAAATTTTGAAAATTCGGAAGGCAAAGAACAGTTTGACGGCGTTTTTGGTTAAAAAAAATTGGGAATTTCGAGGTACAAATTTTGTAAAAAATCTTGCAGGACAGAAATTGCAAAACAATGACGCCAATTTTGAAAAATTTGACAGGTAGAGAATAGTTTGACGAAGTAGTAGGTTACAAAAAATTTTAAATTTTTGGCCAAATTTTGACAAGAAATGATCAGAATGTTGAAAATTGACCAGGTAATTAATTAATGACAAAAAATTGAAAAAGCTTGCAGAAATTTTGACGCATTTTCTAAAAAATTTGCATACCAATCGATCCAATTGACGGCGTTTTGATGAAACTCAGCATCTGCGGTGGCGGTGGTTTCGCCTGTATTTTAATCGCCGCTTTCAACCTCGCCCCCAACTTTTTACATCCTTCCGGCCCCATTTTTTCGAGGATTTCCTAACCACAAATTTTCAAAATACTAATTCTTTTTTTACAAAATTTTATTTCTCTGCAAAAGAAACTACCATTTGTCTCTCTTCGTCCTCGACGTCATGCGGGTCTCCAGTTTCTTTGCTGGGCACGGCGTAAACCAACGCCCAGCTCGAATCGAGGAGGGTTTTAAGCATTTTGAGCCAAAAACGGGCCGGTTGGGAGCCAAACTGTTCGAGAGTGTAGAACCGATTGATCCGCCGGTCGAAAGTGAGGAGGTCGTTGGAAAAGCTGTAGATAAAGTCGGAAATCACGGCGCGGGCGATTGTGTCCTCGGCATCGTTTTCCATGGCGGACATGGCCTAGAAAATGTAGTAGAATGGGATTAAATTAGTTTTTTCGAAAAAAAATATGGGAGATTGCTGCACTAAATTGTTCTTTCGTAGGGATAATTTCTTGCAGGGGGGCAAGAAATGCTAGAAATAGATAAGCGCCATCTAGCGGATAATCACTATAATTTAGTGAAATACGAAGGGTGAGCCCCAAGGGGCGAATATTTCTTGCAGTTTTTTTTCGCAGAGCAGTGCAAAAATTATGAAAAAGGTGCAATAAATCAAACATTGAAATTCGAAACATCGGGTAACTGATTTTGTAAGACAGGCTAAAAACCGGTAAAAAATGGTTTTGTAAAAAACGGGTTTAAACTTAACTTAAAAGCCGATAGCGCAAAAACTTGGTGTTTTAGATACTCGAAAATCGAGTTTCAGGTTTTAATAATACAAATTAATTGGAGCTAATAAACCGGTTTTGGAGAAAATCGAAAACCGGTTTACCAAAATTTTCGAAATCAAAATCCGAATAAAAAATCCAAAAAACCTCGGTTTTATCAAAATTTGAAAAATCCCGTTTTTTTAATCTTCCTATTTTGGACGATCTAATCGGGTACAACACATTTTTCAAAACTTCGCCCGCTCAATTCAAAATTCAAATCGTTTCCAAACCCACCTCTTGGCAACAATGTCCCACCACCATCTCCATCCTTTCCAGGTTAAATTTCCCGTTGTACTCCTCCTCCAACACTTTCCTCAACTTTGGTCCCACGCCTTCCTGTCCGTGCGTAGGAACGTTTTCGAAATTGAAGCAGTACACGGTCTGAACGTTCCCGGACTTGGTCAACGTGACCCCGCTCGCTTCCCCCGTGGCGACGAAGGCCGTCTGCACCGGGGAGATGGGGGACGCCACCAAGTACGCGATCAGGATGTCCATTCCGGCCGAAAGCGTTACGTCCGACGACGCCGTGCCCATCATCGCCAACTTAAGAGGACATTAATTAAATATCAATTTAATTATTTGACCATATTTGTAACTTTGTAAACGGTGCAAATTAATTATAAGATGCTGTACAAAATTAGGGTTTGGATGAAATCTTGGCAAACTTAAGGGGACATTAAACCCGTTTAATTTCTAGTTAGGATCACAATTGTACCGTAAACTGTGTAAATTTTGCGAAAAAATAGGCTACACAAAATTAACTTTCAAATTTTTGGTTTGCCTTCATCTCACAAAACATTTTTGCCCAAAATTTTATAAGTTTACAAAGTTGACCTGAATAATTTACCCCATTTGTAATTTTATAAAGATGAGTACCGTACAAGGAGGTGATAATGTCAACTTTGACGGGCTAAAACTACCAGAAGCGAGCATTACGTTTCTTAGCTTTTTTGCCATAAAATCAGTCATATCCTCATCTGTACGTGTGCAAAAAAGCTAAGAAACGTAATGCTCGCTTCTGGTAGTTTCAGCCCGTCAAAGTGGTATGGGTTTTGAAAATTTTGCAAAATATTTGGGAAAAATTATAAAAAGCCCAAGGAGACTGTCGTCATGCGACCCCGTGGTTAACAAAACTCTGCTGTTTTCATGAAAGTTAGTTTTTAGCCCGAGTCTGGGCTTATGGAACCCCCATGTCCGTCCGTTCGCCCGTCCGGCCCATCTACACGATAGAACGAAAACGGCCTAACAGATTGACTTGAAATTTTCACCATATGCATATTGGGCAAAACTTTGCAAAGTTAGGAATGGAGTTCGAAGATAGGCGAAATCGGTCAAGTGGTTGACCGGTAGGGGTCATCGGAGAGGGTGGGAATTATGCACCAAAATTTTAAAATTGTCATAGAAAGCTGAAATTTGGTACAGAGATTGCTAATGGCTTCTAATGAAAGAATGTGAAGTGAAATTGGAAAATTTTACAACCGGAGGTACCCTAGGGGGTGACCCATACCGATTTTTCAAATTCGTCATATCGAGGTGAAATTTTGCATGGAAGTTGCTTATGGCTCTTAAGGGAAGAGTATAAATTGAAAGTAGAAAATTTTTCATCCGGAGGGACCCTATGGGGTCACCCCCTCCGATTTTCAGAAATTAACTTGAATAGCTGAAATTAGGAATTAGTCCTTAGTGCTTTCTCATGAAATAAACGAAGTAAAATATTAACAAAAAGTAACCAGAGTGGCAGTAGGGGGTAACCCATATCGATTTGTAAAAGTTGATATAATCAGTTGAAATTTAGAATGGAATCAAAAAATAACTTATGATTAGCATGTAGGAGGCTTGAATTTCGAAATTTTTACAGGAGCGACCTCCACTGGTCATGGGAAGTAGTCACGAGGAAGGGATAGCAATATTTTAATTAAAAATATTATTTTTAGAACTTGATCCAATACGAGGAATTGATACTAATGTTCATTCAAAATTAATATGCAGTAAAAAATCTGAAAGGTTATCTGGCGAAATATTCTTTTTCCATGACTTGAGTTTGTTTAAAAATACATTATTTTCCAACTTTCACAGTAATTTTACTGCATATTAATTTTGAACCAACAGTAGTTAATTCAAGATTCATTGCGAAATAGTAGCACATAATTTTACAGAAAACTATTGACAAACATGGGTTTATGTACTAACCAATCCTGGTTCGGGCTAAGCCAAGCTGTACTGATAGGTTTTTTTAAAATTATTCAATCGAGATGAAACTTCGTACATAGTTTACTAATGATCCCTAATGGAACAAGATGAAGTAAAATTGAGTAATATTTTCACATCCGGGACCCGTTGGGGTAACCCATACCGATTTTCATAACTTGTCTCAAAAAGCTGAAATTCGGAACGGTGATACTTAATGGCTTCTCATGAAATTATATGAAGTCAATGATGAACAAAAAATAACCAGATGGGCAATAAGGAAGGGGTACCGATACCGATTTCTGGATTTCTAAGAATTAATATATTGAGCTAAAATTTAGTGTGGAGTTGAAAAATAACTTAGGATTAGAATTTAGGAGGGTTGAATTTCGAAATTTTATAGGAAGCCTCCACTGTTTTTGGTATTTGGTGCCAATTAATACTACCAACTGACGTTAGTTAAAGAATTAGTGAAAAATAGTAAA